CAGCTAAGTGTTATTCATAAAACGCTGCTAAGATTAATTGACTGCTAAGTTGTCTGTTAATTTAGAGGTGGTCTTGGGTACCTCTAAGTCTCTAGCTGACAACTAAACCTTTCTTTCTTCCAGTTGGTGTTTGCATCTTTATGTCTACTGTCGTTGACATCTTTGTATTCATCATACTTTTCAGCTACGAATAAATTCTCTTCCTGAGAATAACTAGATTTTCTTTTCTTTCTGTTGCCTGCTCGTGTATCCTCCATTTTGAGCATGTGTGTTTACGATGTGGATAACAGAGAACAGTTTGTACGTTGCATTATGTAGACACACACAGCAGTTGGTACATGCACAACTCTATTGTCTAGCCACATAAACATACCAATCCTATTGAAAGTGAAACTGACCCATATTGTAATTTGTGGTTTGGGACAGTGCCAACCGCTAAGTTGACAACTAATCAAATCCTAGTTGACAACTACCTGGAATGTCCTTAGCAGAGTTTTATGAATATGAAAATGATAGGAAACTATGGAGCAGGTATTTTGCAGCTTACTAAAGCCTAGCTGGCTGCTAGTTTAGCAGGCTTTTATGAATATGGGCCCGGTGGCTACTCTAATCCGACAGGCAACCTCCATTGAAGCCAGGCCTGCCGCCCGGTAAAGGGAGTTTACATTGTACGGTGTGGCGTAATTTCATTTGTTCCCAAAATTGGCCAAGTGTGTTGCTGAATGGCAGTGGTGTCTTTTCAAATGCGGCCAGATTAGCGTGCAGCGGTACTGTATTGCTCATCGCTGGAGTGCTGAAGCACTTTTGTCCCCGCTGATAATCCGTGGGCGCTAAATGCCGCAAACGGATTACCTCCACTAATGCCAGCACTCTGTGCTGAAAAATGTTAGCAATTCCCAGCAGCTCGGTCTATTGTTCCAAGTACGATCTTTTGTTACAAGGCCAAGCTCCTTTGTTCAATTTTGGGCACCCCGGCACCGAGTCGGCTGATCCCCATTACCAGTCTGCAAGATGGGTCAATTCTGCATTAATTCTCCAACTACTGACCCCTTTTTTGAAACAATCTTTCAACACCATGAATTAAGAAGGAAAGGCGGTTGGCTGATAGTGGCGTTTTGACAATCCATGCAGTAAGATTGACCAATTGCACAAAAATCGTACGATCAAGCACATCGACCAAACAAACCCAACATTAACACCATGCAAAAACAAAAAAACCACTACAAGCCTCTTCTGCTCTTTGCTCACAGGTAGTCATGGGTGCTATCTTATGCATGAGGATGAATAACCCTAACCATGCTGAACCCAAGGTTATGCCAGATTTCAATGGTCCCCAGGGGGTTAGGGTTAAGGTGCATCGACAGTGTCACCTACATGGAAAAAAAAGAATGGTATCTATGATGTTCATATCTGATTTCATTTGTCACTTTTCCTCATACTCGATTTACCTGAACCTGGAGCACCCCTTACCAGCAAAGAAGGGATGGGTTGGTTTGGTGCCCAGCGCTCATGAAGACAGCGTACATGCCAGGAGAAATGGGTCAGCGCATCCCGCCCCAAGCTGGCATGAAACTGGGCATGCCTAACTTGACTTCCCGACAAAGGACTATCATTGCCATGTAACAACATACCATTTCTTGTTCCTGCACAGAGCAAATATTGCGATTTTACTGTCTGGTCTCCTTGCACCTCCACAAATGGTAAAATGCAATGAATTCCATCTAAATATGCATTTTCTTTTTAAAAGCCAAAGAGGGGACTACCTCATCCCCAGTCCCGTAACGTGAAAACCTGCACAGAAGGGAATATCTGGCAGTCAGCCATCTTGGAGAAGCAAGTTTGTTGCCATGGAAACATTGTTGTGTGTAGCCAGGAGGGCTTGGACCACAGCCCTTCGGTTGAAACCCATGTCTGTGAGTTGCTGCACCTGCAGGCGAATACAACCGAATACAATTTCGAACGTAATACCTTGCCTGTTCTCCATGGCGCATGTGTAATGAGATACAGAAAGAAGCATCAGAAGATAGCTAGCCTATGCTGACAAAACTCTCAACTAATCAAAATTGCCACCACAAATGACATCTACTTGGACTCACATATCTACAAAGGACACTTAAAAAAAAGAAGAGACTTTCACGGGATAGGACTGACACCCATACCAAAACAGCTTTAAAGACTTAATTTCAAACTAAGCCAGCCTCCAAGGCCTCGTAGACTTTCAGGGGAGTAAATCTATTTGAAAGCCTAACCACCGAGTTCCAGCACCTGAAGTTGTGCATGTGAAGACAGCTCCGTCTTATGCAAGTGAAGAGCATATTCACTCAAACATTCTTTTCCCATTTCAAAACCACAAACTGAGTCAAACTAAGTTGAACTGGTGGCTCACCTGTTCTTCTGGTACTGAGCTCGTGTCTCGACTCGTTTGTGTCTGGCTTGAGTGCGGGGCACTGCCTGGCTCTGTGTCAGGTGTATCGCCTGTCAGCAAAAACCAATCCAACATGAGAATCTTTATTTAATTAACAATTGAGCACTATGACCCCCAAGATTGCTCAACCAAGCAAGACTCTGGGTTGTTAGACAAGTGATCAAGGATGGTCGAAAAGGTTCACTCAAATATTTGAACAAGCTCCAAGAGTACACACACTGAGGGCTTAGGCAACTAGAAATTACCACCAACTTCCAGTACCTCAGGGACCTAAAATTGACAATCCAATCAAAACAAGATAGGTGTTTGACAAACACATATGCCCGCCAAGACTGCATGAAATCCCCTAAACATGCCATTGTTCATTTGAGTTTTTGACCTTGAACCTTAATATTTTGCATCCAAATTCAATAGGTTTCTTAGGACCACTGATTACAACTTACACACCAAATTTGAAGTCCACAGGACATGTCATTCCCAAGTAATTGTGCTGACAAGATTTCTATTGTTTTAGCCAATTGGACCTTGAACCTTAACCACTTCATGCCGGGGCATTTTTCAATGTTGATGATGCTTGGCCAGCATGACTATCATTTTTTCCGTTTTCAAAATTCTTCAAAAATTCATCATTTCATTTAACAGTCGTTTATAGCCGCACGAAGTAATCTTTAGGCACTACTCTAAGTTGACAGGTGAACTTAATTGACACCCGAATACTTCAGCCAGGCCTGCAGCCTTGTAAAAAGAGCCCAGATTGTGCGGTGTTATGTAACTTTCTTTTGTTCACGAACCTGGCTCAGTGCACTGCTGACCTCTTTTCAATAGGGGCCAGATTAGCGAGCAGCGGTGCTGTGTGGCTCATCGCTGCAGTGGTGAAGCACTTTTGTATACCAGGCAAGATATGGGACGGAGGGGTACCCCCCTTACCTGTCCAATCCCTATACACATTCTAGAGTATTGTTACCTAACACATCCCCCCTGGAAGTCTGTAAAGAATTCCTGAGATTCCGATCAAACAATGACCAACACAAAGGCGGGGGGGGGGTTCTCTCTGTCCCATATCTTGCTTTAAATGCGCTTTTGTCCCTGGTGGTAATCCGCTCGCTCTCAATGCCCCAAACCCTGGTATACGGTTTCAAAACAAGGCTGGATTATCACCACTTTTGAGAGTGAAAAATGTCGATAATGCCCAGCAGCCTGGTCTTTTGTTCGGAGTACGCTCTTTTGTTACAGGGCCCGGTTTCCTTTGTCCGAGTTCAGAGACCCCGGCCACGCATATAAGCCATACGTCTCCGATTCCGGAGACCCCCGAAGGAAGTGGTTAATATTTTGCATCCAAAGTCAATAGGCTTCTTAGGCTCACTGATTTCAACCTACTGTACATACCAATTCATGGACACACACACCCACACTTACCTTACATACCTAGTGTGGACATTCCTTTCTGTTTGTGCAGTTAAGAAAACTCAGTGAAAATACTCGTTTTTCTTGAACTGGGAGCATAATTTCCAGCTGTTTTTTTGTACAAGGTTTCCTTGACTATTCCTTTTCCTTTAACGACGGATGACCCCTACCCCCAAAATGCCTCAGAGAAGGGGAAACGTCCTGTGGACGTGTGTAAGTCCACAGAACATCTTCCTTTCCTGCATCGGGTGGACATCTTTTGTTCACAAGTCCACACGAGGTATGTCCATGTAAGGTTAGCCCACACACATACACATGTACACCCACCGAAGGACAAGGCGGAAAGAGTATGCCCCTTCGACTTCGTCAGGGCGGGGCATAATAAAATATCTAATCATTTGCTTTACCATACTGCAGACATATTTGTCCTTACAGTGTCAGGCATCATTTCAAACACTCATCATCTTTATATATAACGGGTTTGCCCTTACCCAACGTATATTAATAAACACTGTATGCTCAGTGCTTGTCCGAGAG